ATGCACTTTGGTAGGAAAAATAGAGGTACTGACTATTTTCTAAATGGAGGAAGGCTTCAGAAATGTAGAACACAAATTGACTTGGAAGTCCTAGTTCAGGATTCTCTTGAGGTTAACATACATATTCAATTGACAGTTAGGAAGGCAAATGCAATATTAGCATTTATTTCAAGAGGAATGGACTACAAGAGCAGAGATGCATTGCTGAAGCTGTATAAAGTTTTGATCACTCTACATTTGTTATATTGTGAGCAGATTTGGGCCATGTATCTGAAGAAGAATATGTTGGCATTGAAGAGGGTTCAGAGGAGGCGTGCAAAAATGATGCCAGGGATGAAGGGCTTGTCATATGAGGAGCAATGAGGACTCTGGTTCTGTACTCAGTGGAGTTTAGAAGGATGCGGGGGGGGGATCTGATTGAAACTTACAGAATACCGATAGGCCAGATACAGTGGACTTGGAGAAGATGTTTCTACCTCTAAGACAGTCTAGGACTCAAGGACCCTTTAGAACTAAGATGAGGAGGAATTTCTTCAGCCAGAGTGTGATTAATCTATGGAACTCATTGCTGCAGAGGGCTGTGGAGGTCAAGTCATTGAGTGAATTTAAATAGAGATAGATTGGTTCTTGATTAGTAAGGGGATCAAGGATTGCAGGAGAATAGGCGGAGCAGACTCAATGGGCTGCATTGCCTTAATTCTGCTGCTTTATCTAATGGACTTATGAATGGATAAGTAAATAGGGTTGAAACTCTGTGTCATTTTGTAGAATATGTGGTGATTTCTTTGAAACACATAATATTCCAAGAGGCTTGACAGGATAGACTCTGAGAGGTGGTTTCTCCTGCTAGGGGAACCTAGAATACATGGGCATAGTATCAGGATGGGAAGGCAATCATTTAGGACTGAAGTGAGGGAAAATGTCTTCAGTCAAAGAACAAAAGCAGAAGTTGCTGGAAAAGCTCAGCAGGTCTGGCAGCATCTGTGATGGAAAAAACAGAGTTAATGTTTCGGGTCCGATGACCCTTCCTCAGTCAAAGAGTTGTGAATCTTTGAAATTTTATATTCCACAGAATATGAAATCTGGATACTCAAGTGGATACATATTCAAGACTTTTTTTGTCTCTCAGGGAAACAAGGGATATGGGAGCAAGTGGAAAAGTGGAGTTGAGTCAAAGGTCCCTAGTGGTTGTACAGAATGGAGCTGTAGGCTTAATGGGCCATAGGTCTGCTGCTGCTTCTGTTCTTACATGGACCTGGGGACAATTCCATTACCCTGTAGTTGCAGGTGACAACTGACAACGTATATCATACAGTTACTAATGTCTATGGGAAAGTAAGATGATTATGTTAATAATCAACAATGGAGTACAAATCTCAGGCTGGAGGCCGCCAGTGAGATTCACCCGGCAGCACAAAATTCCATATTTTTGATGCATTTTCCTTTCGCCTTTTGTTCCGTCTCCCACAGCAGCAATGTGTCTGTGATTTTAATTTCCGGTACAAAACAGTTAGGACAAAGGAGAGACGGACTGGACATTTCAGCTGCCAATAAACAAATCAAATACACTCAATTAGATTTCGCTATCCGTTTCTTGAAGCGTTCCCAAATTATTTCACCGGGTTATCAATTTATCCTTCTTCCAGCCAAACAATAGTCCTTCTGGGTCTGAGTTAGCCTGCGATTCCGAAAGGGGACAAATGTTTGCATACTTATGTTTAAAATATTTTAAAACAACAAAGAAATCAGGGAACTCGGTACAGACTGTGAATCAAAACTGGGATATACCAGTCCGTATGGCTGAATGTTGGTCAAAGGTAACTTTGCCAACACCGTTCACAGTAAAACTAAAATAACACACAGATAAAATATTGCCAGAAAATGTTTAACACAATGCACTGTTAAGGAACACTCTAGAAAGCAAGAACAATAAATCGGACTAAAAATGAACTCGATTTCAACGTTAAAGGTTATCAGCAAACTGCAGTATAATTCTGGAGCTGGGTGAGAGTTAAATCACCCTCCTAATTGGTAATCCCGGTGACTAATTGTGCAACAGGAAAAAAAAGAAATAAAATGCCCAGAACTAATATTTTCAGCGCACGGAGTTTTCCAAATATTTTGGGTTTACACTGGAGCTTGGACTGAACCCGCGGACCAGACGGTCGTTTTCCGCCCCAATGGGACATTGGCATTAATTAACCTCCTATTCTCTCCAGGAATCCGATTGGATTGCATTTATTTCCCAAATAAACTCCAGATTTTCAAAACTGCAACATCCCCCCCCCCCCCAATATTTCAGAAACTTTTCTCGAATTGTGATTAAATTCTTACCAGCTGGAATCGCTCTTCACTTCTCTCCCAATCTCTACTCCTTTCTTCGCCTACCCGGTTCTTATCCCCTTTCTTTTTATTTGATGTTACGTTTCAATTTTAAAAGTTTGAGTCGGCGAGAAGTTTTTAGGGATACAAATCAACAGAATAGCTGCAGCGGTCACACTGGGCTCAGCAATGGGAGTGTCCCCTATAAGGTGGGTCAGTGACGGAATACAATTCCTCGGAGACCTGGCGCGACACAAGTCGCTGTGGGATTTCACCCATGTGAGTTCAGAGTCACAACCATTATGAGTAAGATATGTGAGTGGAATACTGAGTAACGGCCACCGTCAGTCCTTCGGCTAGTCAAGAATAAACAGTAAATGTTTCAACTAATGACAGGCTTTCGAACCCCGCACAGTAGAATGGAAATGAAGTTTCAACACGTACGCTCTAATTTTGGAAGATATTAAGAGTATTCTATACTATTTGTTATGGGGGCAATACTATTACGTTATGATGGAAGTACTTTACATTGTTATATCAATGTTATTGTCAGTACTGCAAAGTGCAGCTTTGAGATGTCCTGCCAGAGTGAATGTTCATGAGGTGATGGATGGTGCGCTCCAAAATGGATTGATGAGACAAAAAATGAGTTGCGCAACATTGCTGCTCTAAGTGTGCAAACGTGTTGCCTTCTCGAAATAGATCGATTTGTAAGTGATCAATACTACTTCTCTGTGTAATCTTGGTGGAGCAGTGAAGAAAATGCAACACCACCGCCCGTTGCATGCTTCTGTAAATACATCGGCATGCTAACATTCTTCCAGGACATACACTGTGTGTATGTTAAACATTAAATGGGACAAGTGACAAGTTCTGAGTAGAAGTCCAAATTTCTTAATCTGTACGTGCCAATCCTGTACGCTTGGATGGAGGACTTGTCTCACAAGCTTTAGTTTCCATCCACCTGTTAGTGTTATATTTGCTCACAGCAGAAATCTACAGATAACATCAGCTAATGAGTACATACAAGGTGTCACTACCAATATCATGTGTAGAAATTAATTAAAACACAGTTGAAACAATAAGTTACTGGAGTGTTTCAGTGTAAGTATTGTAACACATTTCTTCCCTTTAATTTTTAGAATAGCGAGGCTAAGAAACGGTCACGCACAGCATACAACTAAGCACGTCAACCGTCTTGCGTCATGCATTCCTACATGGGCAAGATAAATATATTGCCGGAAGTAAATTCAAAAGCCGCAGGTAGGATAAACTGGTGAAACAAAACACGGACAAAGAAGACAACAAGGTGCAGGGCTGGATGAACACAGCAGGCCAAGCAGCATCATCGGAGCAGAGAGGCTGACGTTTCGGGCCTAGACCCTTCATCAGAAAAGGGGGAGGGGAAGGGGGTTTTGAAATAAATAGGGAGAGAGTGGGAGGCGGATAGAAGAGGGATAGAGGAGAGGATAGGTGGAGAGGAAACAAACAGGTCGAAGAGGCGGGGATGGGGCCAGGAAAGGTGAGTGTAGGTAGGGAGTTAGGAAGGGGATAGGTCAGTCCAGGGAGGACGGACAGGTCAAGGGGGCGGGATGAGGTTGGTCGGTAGGAGATGGAGGTGCGGCTTGAGGTGGGAGGAGGGGATAGGTGGGAGGAAGAACAGGTTAGGGAGGCAGGGACGAGCTGGACTGGTTTTGGGATGCGGTGGGGGGAGGGGAGATTTTGAAACTTGTGAAATCCACATTGATACCATTGGGCTGCAGGGTTCCCAAGCGGAATATGAGTTGCTGTTCCTGCAACCTTCGGGTGGCATCGTTGTGGCACTGCAGGAGGCCCAGGATGGACATGTCGTCTGAGGAATGGGAGGGGGAGTTGAAATGGTTCGCGACTGGGAGGTGCAGTTGTTTGTTGCGAACCGAGCGTAGGTGTTCTGCAAAGCGGTCCCCGAGTCTCCGCTTGGTTTCCCCGATGTAGAGGAAGCCACACCGGGTACAGCGGATGCAGTATACCACATTGGCAGATGTGCAGGTGAACATCTGCTTGATGTGGAAAGTCTTCTTGGGGCCTGGGATGGGGGTGAGGGAGGAGGTATGGGGGCAGGTGTAGCACTTCCTGCGGTTGCAGGGAAAAGTGCCGGGTGTGGTGGAGCTGGAGGGGAGTGTGGAGCGGACAAGGGAGTCACGGAGAGAGTTGTCCCTCCGGAAAGCAGATAAAGGTGGGGAGGGAAAGATGTCTTTGGTGGTGGGGTCGGATTGCAGATGGCGGAAGTGTCGGAGGATGATGCGTTGGATCCGGAGGTTGGTGGGGTGGTACATGAGGACGAGGGGGATTCTTTTTTGGTTTTTATTGCGTGGACGGGGTGTGAGGGATGAGGTGCAGGAGATGTGGGATACACGGTTGAGGGCGTTCTCGACCACCGAGGAGGGGAAGTTACGGTCCTTGAAAAATGAGGACAACTGAGATGTACGGGAGTGGAATGCCTCATCCTGGGAGCAGATGCGGCGGAGGCGAAGGAATTGGGAATAGGGGATAGCATTTTGGCGGAGGCGAAGGTAATAAGTATGTGCACAAGATTTTATCATGAATACAATTACTTTGACTAACCTTATCAATGCATAAATTCATTCACTATTTCCATGACATGGTTTTTATTCACAAGTTTAAAATTACTACTTTAGGCTTCTTTGGTCAGCTCAGACTTGGGATTTCAGTTTCTCAGTTTTGGATGTTCAGCTTGTCAGATGGGTAATTCTTCACTGCTTCATTGTTCTGATCTGATCTGGAAAAAATATTTGTATTGAATACATGCTGAAGTGAGCTTGTTTGCTTTCTTAACACATTATAAACATCGGGTTTAAATCCTGTACCAGAATAAGCAATGTGCAGGATTAGGGTAAAGTGATTATCACACATAGCTTTTATACTGCCAGTGTCAAGTAGCTCTCATAGTAGAATTGTAATTAGGCAAGTTTCACCTCAATCATGTCTCTCTACCTCTACCTCTTCCATCCCTGTTGCAGCACAGCGACTCCAGGAAGTTGGAAGAGAGATTTCAAAATTTGTGTGAGCTGTTAAGTACCCTCAGATAAACTGAGTTACCCCAATGTTATGGACAGGGAAGAAAGGAACTGGACCCCTTTATTCTCCTCACTTTCTGGCCATAAACAGAATCATTTTTAATTTGGAAGAGTTTGTGGTGTGCTTCACAAACACCTATTTCTGAAGTCAATTTTAAAGTGACATGCAGCAAACACTAAGACTTCATTCAGGAATTTCATTCATTTATTCTCAATTTCAATCTGGGAGCTTTCCTCCAATTTCTCTCTCCCTCTCTCTCTCTCTCTCCCCCCCCCCCCCCCCCCCCCCCCCACTTCTCTCTCTCACACATACACATGCACATGTGCTTGAAAACAAAGAAAGGAGTTTTACATCTTTGTATATTAAAGACCAAAAGTGCAATTATTGTTTGTCAGCGAGGATTCTGTATTCAAATTTGAAGTCCAAGTGAGTTCAGATGCATTAAGCCAGGAATTGCAAAATTCCTTCGAAGGTGGCAATGAAGTGATGCTTGCAGACAGGGGGCCTGTCTGATTTTCAAGCAAAACCAAATCTTTCCAGAAACATGCTGAGGAGGCTTCAACTTTTGGCCCTGTTGCTTAGTTCAGACATATATTTGTTAGTCTGGCTGTTCTAAAATGTGGAGGAGTATGGATCATGTGACACTGACTATTAATGTGGTTAACAGTTTTTATTCCTCTGGTCAAAATCCACTGAATGCCTGAGGAGACAAGTTGATTTCAGTCCCTCTTAAGGAATAATGAGTTTTGATATGTCCTTTTGGTTATCAACCTAGGCTAGAGACTGTGTCTGAGCCCTCTTTGTTTCCACGTGTTGCAATGTCCATGCAGTTGACAGGTGGGAAATTTCCCAAAGTGATCAATCTAGTTTTATCCTTCTGTAATCCACTCTTATTGGAACTTTGGGCCAATTTGAAAATTGTGATCTGTAGCCATTTCAAAAGTCCTGCAATGTAATTTTTTATAAGCAAAAAGCAGGGCGCAGTGTTTTTTCAAACAATTTATAATGTTGTGACCTGTTAACATGGTAGCAGCAAGGCACTTAATAGCAACAAGGTAACATTAGCCTGGCAAGTGATTGATGTTGTTATCAGTAGGTAATATAAAATTGTGTATTGTGGTAATCTATGAAGGTAAAAAATGTGACCCTGGAAACTGAAAGCACTGTTGAAGAATATGCAACTTTTATAGTACGGTTGCTCCTGAAACTACTAGAGTTGTAAAAACTTACAAACAACATACAAGAAGGCTATATTACTTTAATTCACACTGGGGCATAGCATTGCTGGCTGGGCTAGCATTTATTGCCCTTGAGAATGTGGTGGTGAGCTGGCACCCTGAACTGCTGCAGTTCATGTGCTGTAGGTAGACCCACAATAATCTTAGGGAGGGAATTTCAGGATTTTGATCCAATAACGAAGGAAAGGCAATATATTTCAAAGTCGGATGGTGAGTGGCTTGGAATGGAACTTACAGGTGGTGGTATTAACATGTATCTGCTGCCCTTGTCCTTCTCGATGGTCATGACTAAGTTTAGAATGTGCTGTCTCAATCTTTATGGTAATTATCTGCAGAGTGTATTGTGGATTGATGCTCAGCAGAAGCGTACTGTGGTGGAGTGACTAAGTTTGTGTTTGTGGATGTGGTACCAATGAAGTGGGTAGCTTTTGTCCTGGATGGTGCCAAGCTTCTTGAGTGGTGTTGGAGCTGCACCCAGCCAGGTAAGTAGGGAGTATTCCATCACAGTCCTGATTTGTGCCTTGTACATGCTGGACAGGCTTTGGGGAGTCATGAGGTGAGTGACTCACTGCAGTATTCTTAACCTCTGACCTGCTGTTTTGGCAATATAGTCATGAGTCCAGTTCAGTTTTTTTTATCCATAACGCCCAGGATGTTGTGGGGGGTTATGATGGTAATGCCATTGAATGTCAAGGGGAGTGGTTAGATTGTCTAGTTGGAGATAATTATTGCCTAGCATTTGTGTGGCACAAACATTACTTGTCAATTTTTAGCCTAAGCCCAGACATTGTCCAGGTCTTGCTGCATTTGGACATGTGACCCTTCAGATACAGAAGCAGTCCAAATGGTGCTGTACATGGTACAACCATTTTTGAATTTCTCTCCTTATGATGGAAAGAAGGACATTGTAGCAGCTGAAGCTGATTAGGTGAAAATAGTGAAACATGTGCTAATTCTTTCAATGAGCAACCTTATTTAGACCCATATTCTGCTCTCTATCAATAACCCTGACAAGTTTGTTATCCAGAATTATCTGTTACCTCCCTTTCAAAATTGTTGATGGTATCAACCGTAACCCTAGCTTTTGTCCCTGTTAGAATTGGACATCCTTTTAAGAGTAACAGCTCTGAAATTGAGAACAAGTGAAGCCCAAAGGACAACATATTGAAGAGCTGGGTGAGTCATAGTTCCTGACTGCCTGCACCTTGTCTGTATCCATGTTTGCACCTGGGTGTCCTCCAAAAGAGGAAGCATGCTGTGTCCATTAATACACCCAAAGCTTTGAGATGCAGTGCCTTATTTTCACCTTACAACTCAATTTTAATTTAGTCCCTTCCCTCTCTCCCAACCTGTCATCACTTCTGTTGTTGTTACAGTGGCTAGGGCAGTGCGTGTGAATTTTTTGTTTAATTAGAAACGGGTGATCTGGTGGTGTAGAATAAAATATTCAGAGGTGCACAAATGCATCACAGGATGGAAAAGGAAATAGCTGGGTTCTTTATGTTCCAGATTTTGAATTCAGATCCCACCTGTTTTCTGATGAAGGGTCTAGGCCTGAAACGTCAGCCTTTCTGCTCCTATGATGCTGCTTGGCCTGCTGTGTTCATCCAGCTCTGCGCCTTGTTGTCCCACCTGTTGACAAGGTGGGATTTGAAACCATGTCCTCAGAACATTTGAGACAAAAAACAGCAGATGCTGGAATCCAAGGTAGACAGACAGGAGGCTGGAAGAACACAGCAGGCCAGGCTGCATCAGGAGAAAGCAGCAGTCAATGTTTTGGATATCACCCTTCTCCAGTCGTAGCGGTTGCAGGGCAGCTAGCTTAGAGGACCTCCTTGTGGACCTACTTCTGGGCCAGGCTGAAGGGCCTATCAATAGGCCCATAGAGCAAGCTCTAATTCCAGACTGTCTGTCTACCTATCTTCCACAGTGACATTTGTACTTGGGCACCCTTGGAGAGGGAGCATGTGCTGCCCACCAGTATACTTAAGATTTTCAGAGACCATGCGTACCACACGGCTGATGTACATTATCTTCCCCCCTCCAACACTGTTCCAATTCAGTTTCACCCCTTGTTTTCTCTATCTTTTTGTTATTGTTATGCTGCCTGAGTGGGCAGTGATTGTAATTTGTTATTTTTAATTAGCTGGGTGTTTTGATGGGGCTTTTGATTGAAAAATATGGGTTCATGCTTGCCCAGTTTAGAAAAAGGGGAAAATCGGGGTTCTGAGCCCCTGACGAGCAGCATTTGTTATTTGGTTGGTTCATCTAAGGAAGAAAAAGCTGAGTTTTTGTCTGTGGAGGCTTGGCTTCCTTCAAGGAAAGGATCCTGAAGGATAATGTGGAAGTTGGTGTTTGTTAAACTGTAGACTTACAATAAAACACTTGTAAATCTCTGGAAGTCTTTGCTGCCTCAGTGATGCAGTTACCAATAACTCAGCTAAAACATTTCTCATCATCCTTCCAGGTGCTATCTAGTGATTTTTGTGACATGAATGATTTTCATGACCTCCAGAAATTGATTCTTTCTTTTGTCAGTAATTTGACCCTATTAATTCTATCAACAACTCTAATCTTGACATCTATTAGGTCACCTCACTTATTCCTAGGAGAACAGCCCTAAATTTTTCAACCCTTCCTTCCTCATAAGTGAAGGCCCACTGAAATGGCTCTGCAAGCCTAACAAACTGCTACATAAAAGTCCAGAAGTATCAATATAGCCAAACATCCTGACATGCTATTGCATCACCATTTTTCACTTTTCAAAATCCTGGAAGTATCTTCTGAACAGTGCTGTGGGTGTAACTACACCACATGGACTGTAAAGCTTCAAAAAGACAATACATGATCATAAGTGATTAGAAGTATGCTATAAATGTTCACCTAGTCAGTGATGCCCACCTCCCAGAAAGATTTTTAAAATTCTCTACCCTTCCTAACACCCTTTATATTTTTTCTGAACAATGGTGCCCTGAAGTGTCCAGGATATTCCAGCTGACATGTAACCAGTAAGTTAAAATTCTGCAAACACAATACATATCAGCAATATAACTGAAAAGCAATGACTAGTAAGTGACAATTCTGAAATCCATCCACCATTAAGATGAGTCTGACATCATGTTCATGCCATCAAAACTTTTTGTTTCCAAGTTTGTTACATGGCTTGGCTTTGTCCCTTTTCAGCTTATGTTACTAAAGCCTTCATTCATACTTTTGTTACCATTATATTTGACTATCCTAAAGCATTCCTGGCTGGTCTCTCTCCATCTACAATCCATAAGGTTAAGATCATTTTTAAGTCTGCTGCCCATGTCTTAACTCCTAACAAGTTCCTTTCCCTTTTTAATGTGTGTATTTGCTGACTTAAATTGACTCCCAATCAAGCAACATCAAAATTCTTAAATTCTCATTCTTGTTGCCAAATTTCCATACGACTTTGCCCTTCCTTATATTTAACCTTTCCCAGCCCCACAACTTTCTGAAATATCTGAATTCCTCTAATTCTGGCCTCTTGTGGTCAAAGTTCAATTGCTGTACAGCTAAGCCCCAGTGTTCTGAAATGCCCCTGCAAACCCCTCTGCCTTGCCTTTTAAGACTCTCTGTAAAGGAATATTTCCTTCGTGGTTTGAAGTCATATATTTGGTTTGTAGGTTTGTATCAGCCAGAAGGGTGAGAAAGGCACTTGTGCAACATCAGTTGTGGAATAACTCCAAAGGCTGGTATCCTGACACCAAGTCACCATTTATTTATACATGGAGAGCCCTAGACACTGATTCAGCTTCCTGAACCAGCTCTGAGTGAACAGAACCCCTGACATTCCTGTTTGTATCTGTCAACCAGGGCTCTCTGATTGGACCAGATTAACAGTCCTAATCAGGGAAATCATTCTACAAGGTCTATCTCGTTGACCTCATTACAATCACTACAAATTGGTTCACCTCTCTAGCTTAAAAGAATGATAGTTAAGGGAGGGGTAAGTGTAATCAGCCAAGAATCACATTTCTTGTCACTACCTACAAATTCTTACTAGAATGCACCTAGAATAGAATTAGAATCTATTGCACAGCCCCATAATTGGATGGCCTATTAATGCTCACAGTCTAGGGTTATGTGAAAAATGGACACAACATTTTCCTGCAGAAACCTGTATGAAAGAAATTCTCGAAGCATTTGAGAAGGCAATTCAAAAATCTGGTTGATATTCAGATTGTTAACTCAAACATTCAGTTATGTGATATTTAGTCTCTAAATATTGTTGCAAATATTTAGTCCATAATTTGTTTTGCAATAATTTTTGGATGAAAGATTTAATTAGATAAATGGGGGCATCTAGTTGAGAAACTGAAACACAATTCTGATGTAAATGCAACTCAAACAAGCCTGGGTTTGTTACACTTACAAGGTAGCACAGCCTGTATTTATGTTGCAAGATCATATTTGATGGTGGAAAGACTTAAACAGTGATCTCTAAGCTAGAAATGGCTTAGGCATTCAATAGGAATGTACAATATTTATGGGTTATAGAATCAAACTCATGTTGAAGTAAAATAATTTGCATTTCTGTTAGAGGATATCCCAAAGTATGCCATCAGTTACATACTGATGGGCTATGGGACTAGCAGGCTCACTTGTTTACACTACCTAGGTGTTTGCTCAGAAAGCAGGCAGTTTTGCTACAGTGTAGACTGAAGTACATTGGATTGAGAGAGCGAAAAAGTTGTTCATCAGACTTGCATTTTTAAGCAGAAGAAAAGCTAATTTTACCATTCACCGCAAGAAATGTAGTCTCATCTTCCACTTGAATTTGCTAGGGGGGAGAAAACAATAAATGATTTGAAGGAGCCTCTCTAGACTCAGTTATCTCTGCTTTCTCAACACAGATGTTACCAGACCTGCTGAGTTTCTCCAGCAATTTGTTTTTGTTTGATTTCCAGCATCTGTTGTTCTTGTTTTATTTCTATTTCCATCCTGGCAAGAGCCCCCAATTTGTTATGGACCAGACCAGACCCCTTAAATTTTGAAGTAGCTTGCATCTTAACCTTTTTTTTATTTTTTAAAAGTTGATATGAAACACATGTTCCAGATGTGATGCAACTGGTCAAGCTACTCTGTTAAGCAGAACACAGTTTATTTAAACACTATAATTAAAATACAAACAAAAGAATAACTTAATGAAAATCTAACTGAATAATAGATAGTACCTGTTTTTCATTAACTGTTCCAATATAGTAACATCCCATAAACACACTGGCAAAAAAGGTAAATTCAGACACTGATTCTTACATGCAGTTCTCCAATCCAGGAGGAAACAATATCAACAGATTTCAGAGAAAGTAGCAGCAAGGAATCATTCACTGAAGCTTTCAACTCTTCTGGGACCCCAAACAGTTTCTGACTGCTAAAGCAAAAAAAAACTAGAAAGCCTGGTCAGTGAGAACTAGCCACTTCCTTTCAAGCTGCTTCCATTGTTGCAACTTTTTTAAAACAAAGCTGAAGGCCTTTCTAAGTTGTTTACTTAGGCCATCTCCAGTAGTCAGTTTAACACCTCTGCTTTTGCAACCTGTCTTCAAAAAAAAACCCAGGACAAAATAAACTTTTTAAAGTGACAACATCATCACATAATCTTCCCCCTTAAAAACAGAACCATCGATATACAAAGATGGTTTTATTTTAAAAACCTTCGTCTTACTGTATCTACAATACATATACACTACATTGACTCTTAAGCATGCAAACATTCGCCACTATATTCTATTTCAGTCCATTTACTCCTGCCACTGAATGCCAATTCAGTACCTCTGCTTTTACGACCTCTTTTCAAAAACATCCCCAAGACAAAATAACCACTTTAAAGTGATAGTACTGTCACAAGAAAATGCTGCCTGGCTAAATTAAATTAGGTTTTTACTGGCTAATATATTTTCCAGCATAATTATTTTGCTAATTTCATTTTGTCCTATTTGTTCTCTTTGGTTTCCTTTCATCTTGACATGGCCTGCATCTGACCCTTAAATGCCCTCTGAAATGACTTAGCAAACCAATCGGGAAGGACAATTAATTCACACCTTGCTAGTGATGCCCATATTCCATGAAAAAATAGAGGGGAAAAAATAGATGACTGGGAAATTACCTACTTGCTTATGCAACTCTGCATTAGATGATGTGTAAGTGTAGCTTGTGGTGACCCTCCATTATTACTTTTGTCATGAATGTTGAATTTTACAAGATGTTTATGTTTTGACTCAATGTCTAACTCAGAGTAAAACAATTTAATTTAAACCTCTCAGCTCTGAGATGTCCATGCGATGTAATTGCAATGAAGAGAGAAGCTTGAAGAGGGCCCCCCGAGATGGTGAGTTTCAACAATTTTTGCAGCCTTCCACAGAAAGATGCTTAAGATGCAGAAACAAAGGAACTAGTGCTGTGGGAAAACAGCAAGTACTGTTTTAACAGCAAAGTAGGATGATGATAAGAGTTGGGTTTTCAGGATTTTTAAAACAAGATTAAATAAAGAACAGTACAGATTTAAGGAATGGAGAGTCTACATTAAGGGGTTAATTTTAACTTCTGACAGGATAATGAAAGAGTATACATCATAAGGAGTTATGTATTACCACATGATCTTGCTCTCTCTTTCAGCCTCATAGAAAGATGAAGCATGTAAGATGTTTCCTAAATACAGCTAATGGTTTCCTTGCCTTAGCGTGCTTTATAATTACTATTTTTAGAAGCATTACAAACCAGTAATATTATACAGAGGTGTGCCTTGTTGGTGCCTGTCATATCTGAGAGAACTCCGGATCAGTGAAACAATTGTTGAAGGCCACTTGAAGTTTGAACCTACATGGAGCAACATGAATTTTTGCTTGCGAGCTGGAAGTGACAGTGCAGACTGTTCCTGTACTGCTATGTATCTGACATAAGGGTGAGGTTATACAAATGTCTTCACAATATATATTTTGGTTGTTTTAGTCAGTGAAATTAGGGTTTTATTTCATGTGGTATTATTTGCGTGTTAATGTTTGATTATGTTGATTTTTAGTTTGTTTGTTACAATAAAGTCTTAAAGTATGAAATCCTGTCATTCAGTTCTTTCCATAGATTATTTCTCAGTAATCACTCTTTAAAAGTTATTGGTCTCTCTGGAAATGTTAAACTTTCCATATCCATCCAGCATTTTTCTATAAATACATGATTGAGAATAGAACTTGATACTATGGTACATTGTTCAGCAGCTTATTTGCTAGATAGTATATCCACCCTTGTAAAGATAATTGAAGTGTGGTATCTCTGGTGACTGTACCAAACTCACCTTGGTTAGAGAAACTGAAGTTTAAGAGCAATGCTGTCATACTACCTATTTATACATTGTTCAATCAGGCCACACTAGTTTCTACTTCCAGAGTTCAAACCAGTCTCCTAGATTGCTCAATTTGTTTGGTCAACTATCAAAAGACAAATTATTAAAATAGACAATGTATGAAGAATTTCATCAACAGAGGGTATCTCAAATATTACCTTGTAGCCACTTCACTCCATCCTCTAGTCCTTCCCCTTTCAGAGCACTGCAGGCACTAAGGAAAAAAGACATTACAATGAAAATGAGAAAAATGCTGTCAAACTTGTTTTCTTGATTTGTAAGAGACATGCATGCCTATATGAGGGAAAGAGAACAGCTTTTAAAAATAAGTTGTTATTCTCTCAATGTGTTCAGAAAAGTTTCTGATTTTGGTTTTGAAAATATTCGTGGCACCAACTTAGTTAAGGATGGCAATTGAACATCGAGACCACTGACGTTCCTCTCTGCAATAATACAATTGTCACTTGTGGCACTAATTTTATGACACTTCTGTGGTTGTTTAAAATATTACTTTTGCACATGTCTTCAATCATTTGGTGAAGATTCCAATCAGCATGTAATGCCTTCATTCAGATCACATACCGTGGAAATCTGGGGGAACCCAAATTGGAAGGCAGTATAGCTGGTAATAAGAAGTTGAAAGGATGCTCTGAAGACTGGAAAGCACGTGAAATAAAGCTGAGCATCAAGTATGCTTCAAAAGCAGAATTATTGTCAAAAACATAAAAGGAAAGGCATTCACAACAAGGTAGACAATTGAAAGGCATAAATAGAGATACATGGGTATGATCTTATTGCTGTCACAAAAACATGGCTGCATGAAGACTGGTTACAGAATATTTTTGAATATTCAATTTTTAGGAACAACAGATGAGGGGGGAAAAAAGGAGCTTGTCTTGGGTAACTCCAATAGATTTAAGGGATGATCTCAAATCAGAACAGTGTGTTATCTGTTTGGGTGGAAAGAAGAAACTACACAGCAGCAGATATTGTTTGGAAATGTTTATAGGCCACCAGATTGTAGTGGTATTGTGAGGCATGGTATTAATCAGGTGATAAGTATGTAGCATTGGCAACACAGTTATTATTAGGTAACTTCAAACCGAATGCAGACTTCATGAACCAATTAGGCACTAAAGCTCTGGGGGACAAGTTTCTGGAAGGGAATGAGAGAACACTGAGCTACAGATCTATTAGACTTGCATTGTACTAGGGAAAATGCTGAAATCTACTATAAACGATGAGATTAAAAAAAAAACCTGATTGATAATGATCTGATTGAATACAGTCAGCATGGATTTGCGAGTGGGAAGCCATATTTAACAAACTTGTTCGAGGTTTTTGAAAATGTTGCTAACAACGTTGGTAAAGGAGAGCCGACGGATGTTGTATACTTAAATTTTCAGAAGGCTTTTGATAAATTTCCCCACTTAAGCCTCATTAGAAAAATGAAAGCACATGGCTTAGGAGGTAAAGTACTGGCATGGATGAATGGTTGGCTAAAAGACAGTAAACAGTGTAGGAATCATTCTTGCACAAGCAGATTATGACTATTACAGGACAATATATTCACTACCAGCAGTTTATTATATATCATTATTATTATACCTTGTTGTGAATGCCTTTCCTTTTATGTTTTTGACAATAATTCTGCTTTTGAAGCATACTTGATTTGGACTTGGTGACTAGGGCCATTGTGCCATGGTGATAGTGTCCCTACTTCTGAGCCAGGTGGCCTGGGTTTAAATTCTATCTGCTTCAGTCATGTATAATAACCTCTCTGAACAGGATGATTAGAGAATACAAAGAATTCATGACCAAATGTAATATTTCCAAATTTGTGGATAATACAAACTAAGTGAGAATGTGTTGTGAAAATGATGTAAAGTGGCTTCAGAATAGAATGTGGCAAAATGTATGGTTATCCACTTTGGAGAAACAAATGTGCATATTATTTCTTAAATGGTAAGAGTTGGAAAGTGTAAATGTACAAAGGGACCTTAGTGTCCTTGTCAATAAAAGTAAGAGAAAGTCACCATAATGCCAGAGAACCATCAGGCTGCTCTCTCATTAGAGATGACTGGTGGTGAGTTTAACCCAAGGGTCACCACGGCTCAGGTAAGGGGCAAGGTTGAAAAGGAGTGTCCTTCATGGTAACCTCAGCCAGAATGGGAATTGAACCCGTGCTTTTGGAGTTGCCCTGCATTGCGGACCAGCCATCCAAGCTAAGCACCCCCACACCATTGTCGGTATGTCACAGAATGCAGGTGCAACAAGCTAATAGAATGTTATAGCATTTATTACAAATGCTATATGGAGCATGGTTAGACCCCATCTAGACTAATGTGTGCAGTTTTGGTCTCCTTATCTCAGTCAAGATAGTATTGCCACAGAGGGAGTGCAACAACAAAGGCTCATCAGACTTGTTGCCAGGATGGTGGAATTGTCCTCCAAAATGAAATTGGGCACACCATTTTGAAGAATAAGAGGTGAGCTCATTGAAACTTACAAAATACTTAAATGGATAGAGATGGAGATAGAAGAAGATGTTTCCCTTGATTGTGGAGTCCAGAACCAGGGGGCACCACTTGTGTTTGAGAATCGGAAGTTTTTTTTCAGTTATGAAAAAGAGGAATTCACTACCACTGAGTACTGTAGAAGTTCAGGATTTGAGTATGTCTAAGGTAGAGATTGATAAATTTCTGATTACCAATGGCATACTGGGTTATGGCGATGGGGTGGGTAAACACAGAAATAGTCTATTCAAACCTTCAAGCTTCTGTGCCATTCAAAATGATCATGGCCAATACTTAGTGACAGCCTCCACAGCATTCTGATTGTGGTAGAGAATTCCACAGGTTCACTATGCTTTGAGTGAAGAAATCTTTCCTTATCTCAGGCCTAAACGGTCCACCTATATCCTGAGACTCTGTCCTCTGGTTCTGGACTCCCCAGTCCCAGAAAACATTCTCCCTGCATAGTCTGTTCAGCTCTGTCAGGATAATATATAGTTCAATCAAAGCCTCTTTCATCCTGCTAATCTCTAGCAAATAAAGGTCCAGTTGAACTAATCTCCTCATAAGGCTGTGCTGCCATTCCCAACACCAGTCTTGTGAAACTCCACTGCACACCCTGTTTCCTTTACCCTCCTAATCTTTCTTAGGTTGGGAGACCAAACTGCATGCAGTACCACAGGTGTGGTCTCATTAAGGCCCTGACTAACTGCAGTAAGACATCCCTACTTCTGAACTCAAATCCTCTTGCACTGAAGGTTTATATACCATTTGTCCTCTCAATTGCTTGCTGCACTTTCCTGTCTGCTTGGATTGGCTGGTGTACGAGGAAACCCAGATCCTTTTGTACATCCACAATTCCCAATATCACCATTTAAATAATACCCTTCCTTTGTTTTTCACATCAAACTATATAACTTCATATTTAGCCATGTTGTATTGCATCTACCATGTGTTTGTCCACTCACTCAACCTGTCTAAACTACCTTGAATCCTCCATGCATCCTCCTCATAACTCAGTGTCCTGCCTAGTTTTTTAAAAGTGATCACTGTTTCAATGTTCCTGTTGACTTGAGCCATTATAGGATTTCTGCTGCAAAACTGATTTCTCAAACTATAATTTTCATAATGAGGTACCGGTCAGGTAAGCATTTTGATGACCAGCTCCAATTCCTTCTTGAATGGAAATATTTACTTACATGAGGAATTGAGCAATAAGTGCAATGATTCTTCTCGTAAGGGATTTAGCACTTAAGAAAATTATTTATTTGTGTAAAAGATTAGTTGAAGCAATTTCAATATATTGAATGTATTTTTACATCGAGAGGTGTTTTCAGTAGTGACATCATCAATAGACAAGTAATTTTATTTTCTGTCATAATGTTACCAGAGGTATGGCTGCACTGATTATTAAGTGTGTTTGCATGGAGTAGGACAGCAAAAGGAGCGTATGCACTGCACTGTATTGCACAGGGGCTATAATTGGCCTTGGGCATTACTGGAAACATAGGTATGATGGTGGGGATCGGGGTCCTTGGACATGGCTAGATGGACATAGTGTGGCATGAGATTATCAGGTGCCATGAGAGATGTATAAGCATAGAATGGCACACAGATTTTCACGGTCCATGGTAGATTCATATGTGGTCATAGGTATTGGCATCCATGGGGCATGGGGTGATGGGCACAGATTGGCATGGGAGTATCAGATGCCATGGGGACTATAGCACAGCATATATGCTGATCCAGAACACATGGGGCCATGGGCGAGCATACAGGGGTGTAGGTTAGCACAAACCTTGTAAAGGGTACAAGGTATTAGGTGGTATGGAGAAAGTGAGGGGAAGACAACAGAAAGGGTATTTTGTGTTTTTAATCTTCATTTTGAACACCTGCTAGAGTCCCTGTACAGCCTTTCTATCTAAACCACCTCAAGAAGCTTTTCCAAGGTTGCCCAGCCTGACTTTCAATCCAAACCAAAAATGGAAAGTGCAATTGGCTGTTTTTAAAGGTTCATAGAGCTGGGATTTTTCCCACGGTTGTGCACTTACCTGGAATGAAATCCAGGATCTCAGTCCTTTTCTCCTAGTGGCTTTAGGTTTTTGCATTAAGCTTACTGTCATCTAATCACCCATTTCTAAGTTACTCTCTTTGATTTTTTTTCAACCTTTTATACATCATCTATATGATGGATCTTGGGTGTATCAATTACATGTATTAGAAAAATTCACTATGAAGTACATAGTTCTAAAACAAAATTGTTCAGTTGTCCTGTATAGTCTAGTATTTGAATATGCTCGTTGCTGAACATATAAGTTTTTAGCATTGATTCCATAGATGATTTACTTGTACAAATGTCTGAATTTTAAGATGGTGCATTTCGTATATACCTAAGATACTTACTGGAGTTGTGAGATATTATATTCAACATAGGCAAGTGTGCACATTTGATTATCGACAAGATATTCAGTCAGGCCCAAATGAAATTGACATACCAACTTAAAGTACTTCTATTTCCTATCTATTTGTATCTGAATTCCCTACATGGCTCAATTTAGAACAAAACCCAAGAAGAGTCTGAGGAAGGGAATTCTCGTTCTGAGGAAGGATCACCAGACCTGAAACATTAACTCTGATTCTCTTCACAGATGCTGCCAGACCTGCTGAGTTTTTCCAGCAATTTCTGTTTTTGTTTCCAAGAAGAGTCAGTTTGTCCAATCCCAGATGTTTTTCTTTATCCATTGGAGGTCTCCATTTTAAAAAATAGTAGAGTTAGCACAATCTCTCAACGCGTAAGAAATTTGCTCATATTCCTTTTCTCAAACGAACTAGCATTCTTGTCAGTAGAGTTGAATCAATTTGTTAGGAGCTATGGTTTTCAATTCTTTATAGGTATCTCATGTTCTTGTAGTTAAGTTTGTATTAATAAAACAGAATCTTGATACCCTCTCTACATTCATTCCTCACTCTCCTATTCACTTACTCTAGATTTTTTCTTGTCCCACTACTTTACATTTTCTATTTGTTTTGTCTTTTCTTGCTATCAAAGCTGTTTTCCTTTACCTTTGTAGAACCTAGTATTTGATCAGTTGCGTGGTGAAGCTGCAGAGTTGAGAATGGACAAGATGAGAGCTGCACAGGTGTCTCTCTCACTTCTCAGACAGACCTTTTAAAAGGAGTCCTCAAAAATAGCTGACTCATGCTAACGTTTTGCCATGCCAGTTTCAGCGCTCTCACGTAATAGTTATGCAATACTACGGAAATTTTTGCTAGGTTATGAATCAAAAGCTGTTAGGCAGTCTTCAGTATTCATTCCACATATAAGTCCAGGTATTGAGGGTGAACATGTCTTTCAGATGTGTACAGCAGAGCAAAGTGTCATTCAGTTATCACTTGACACCTACACTTATTTTTACAGTTGTCACTGAAGAGTAATAGACCATTCAGTCCCTATTAGTTGATGGCTAATCTGTTTTTTTTCTGACACCATTTACCTGCTATTCCCAATATATTCATTTCATGTATCCAAATCACTACCAATTCATGTCTTCAAAATTATATATGACTCAGCATTACGCAGCCTTTTACAGAGGGAAAAAAAATTCCTCAATCCTCTATTAAGTAGCCACCACCTTATCAAGGGCAACCAGGGGTGGGTAATAAATGCTAGCCCAGTCAGTAAATCCCATATCCCATGAATTATCCACCTGCATAAACAGTTTTTTTTAAAAATCTCCCTTCAAGGCCAACATACCTTTAATGAAACTAGGGTTAGAAAAAAATGCAGTATTCCAGGTGAGGTCTGACAAAGGCTTTATACAGCCAAAGGATTACTTCCTCACTTTTATATTCCAATTCTTTTAAGACAAAAGGCCAGCATTCCATTCTCCTTTTTTTAATGGCAAAGAAACCGAGGTTATTTGTTGCTCTGAGAGCCCAGGCTTGACAAGTCCAAAGACAGACCTGTGAGTCTGACTTTGGTTGTGGGTAAATTGTTGGAGGTGATTTTAAAAGATAGAATTATGGACATTTTAAAGAGGCAAAAATTGATCAGGAATAGTCAGCGTGGTTTTGTGCAAGGAAAATTGTGTCTCTCAAACTTGATTGAGTTTTTTGAGGAAGTTACCAAAAAGATTGAAGGGAGAGCAGTAGAAGTTGTTTATTTGGACTTTAGTAAACCCTTTGACAAGGTTCCACATGATAGACCAAATATTAAAGTTAGGTCACATGGGATTCAGAGTGAGCTTGCCAAATGGATACATAATAGGCTTAACAGCAGTAGAGAGCGCAGTGGAGGAGGGTTGTTTTTTGGACTGGAGGCCTGTTACCAAAAGTATTCCACAGGGATTGGTTCTGGGTCCTTTTTTGTTCGTCACTTAAATGATTTGAATGCAAAAACAGAAGCCACCATTAGTAAGTTTGCAGAAGATGCCAACATTGATGGCATAGTGGACAGTGAAGAAGGTTTTCTAAGATTACAAAGGGATCTTGATTAAATGGAAAACTGGCCAATGGAGTTCAATGTGGATAAATGCAAGGTATTGTATTTTGGTACAATAAACAGGATTGGGATTTATACAATTAATAGGAGGGCCTTGGCTAGTGTTCTAGAACAGAGGGACCCACGGGAGGTAGATAATTCTTTGAGGTTTGCATCACATATAGACAGGGTGGTTTAAAAAGGCATTCAGCACACTTGCCTTCATTGCTCAGTCCTTTTGAGTATAGGAGTTGGGAAGTCATACTGAGATTGTACAGGATGTTGGTGAGGCCTCTTCTAGAGTACTGTGTCCAGTTCTGGTCACCCAGTTATAGGAAGGATATTATTAAGCTAGAGAGGGTTCAGAAGAGATTTGCCAGGTATGGAAGGTTTGGGTTATAAAGAAAGGCTGGAACCTTTTCCACAGGAGCAGAGGAGGTTGAAAGGTGACCTTATAGAAGTTTATAAAATCATGAAGGGTATTGATAGGGTTAATGGTAAGTGTCTTCTCCCTAGGATGGGGGACTTCAAGACTAGGTGAGAGAAGAGAGATTTGAAAAAAAACATGAGGTGCAATTTTTTTTATTTTTACACTGAAGGTGGTTCACGTGTGGAATAAATGTCCTGAGGAAATGCTGATATGGCTCAGCTACAAGACATTTGGATACGTACATGAATAGGAAAGGTTTAGAGGGATATTGGCCAGGAGCAGGCAGGTGGGACTAGTTCAGTTTGGGATTATGTTAAACAAGGACTGGTTGGACCAAAGAGTCTGTTTCCGTGCTGTATGACTCTATATTAGTCCAAACATCACCCCGCAGAGGTCAGCTAAACTTGTCCAAACCAGGCTTAAAACTGGAAATAACTCTACAATTTTTTGAATGAAGATCAGTAAAAAAAAACAGTAAAAAGCCAGACGTTAATTACATCTACCAAGGCCAACTACATGATATGTTTCTACAATCCATTAACCTACCATATATGCCAAGGTTTGTCTTTGATGTTATTAAGCCCCAACATCTGGGACACTGCAACTGACGGCAAAGCACCACTCAGGTCCATTTTATTTGCGAAAAAAAGAATAGGGATTTGTCTCTGCAAGATATCTGCAAATGTAAACATGATATTTGTTTAGTGTCTGAGCAAAAGGAGTTTAAGTCTGAGCCCAAAATCAGAGCCACAGTATCCAGTTTCTCAAATACCATATCAGCACAGTATTTCTTTTAAAATGATCTGCTGTTTTCACCTGACAACACTCACACGGAAAAGAGTGTGGTAGTATGAGAGCATAGTAACCTGTTAGTCATTTGCTCAATTAGCTATTCATCATGTTCAAATCTAGACAATAAGAAATTTAAAGCTGTTCAACAATTGAGAACATCACCATTCAAATTGTTTATTTTCCACCTGATGTCAACATGTGTACTTCCTCACGGGGAATATAAAATAAGACAGGGGTACAGATTGCAGACCATTTAGCTCTAAGGTGAAGTGGAGCAAGAGGTCCAACAGAAAGGGCATGATAAAGGAAAACACAGCAGATCTTCTACAATGGGTTGCAGTGTAGCTAAATTGACTATTTGACTAAAATCAAGTACCCTTCTATCAGTCAGAGTACACAAAACATATCTGAAGATTTTTGCCAGAGGAGAAAGAGTAGTACATTCAAAATGATATTAAAAGGCACCAACATAATCTGACATGGAAATCTGCACCTTTATGCAAACTCAAATCTGTCCTAAATGAGTGCGTTGCATTGCTGAAACCAGACTGCAGATGTTGATCCTACATTACCTGGATGAATGAGAAGTGCATCCAATTCTTGTTTAGCCACAACAATTCTTAGTTTGTCTGCACAGTCAATGACAAAAATAATGGCATCAGCACCCCTGCAATGAATCAAATGTCAAAAAAATTTAGGTAAAAGAATTTTACTAATTTTCAGAAAGAATTAAATCCTTCATTTAGGCCAGATACCTACATGTCCCTAATGTTGGCAGCAATATATTGGCATAGCTGGAGAATTGGTTGACAGACAGGAAACAGGGTAGGAATAAATGGCTTATTTTCTGAGTGGCAGGTAGTAACTAATGGAGTACCACAAGGATCAGTACTTGGACCTCAGCTATTCACGACAAATATGATATGACTTGGATGGGGGAACCAACTGCAATATTTCCAAGATTGCTAACAACACAAAACTGGGTGGGACTGTGAATTGTTAGAAAGATGCAAGAGGGCTTCAAGGTGGTTTAGACAAGTTGTGAGTGGGCAAACACCTGACAGAGGCATTACAATGTGACTAAATGTAAAATTATACACCAGTGTGAAAAACAAAGTAAAAATATTATTTAAATAGTGATATAATGGGAAGTGTGGGTGTACAAAGGTATCTGGGTGTCCTTGTACACTAGCCAACGAAAGCAGACAGGAAGGTGTAGCAAGCAATTAAGATGGTAAATGGTATATTGGTATTCATTGCAAAAGGATTTGAGTTCAAAAGTAGGGATGTCTTACTGTAATTAGATAGGGCCTTGGTGAGACCACACCTGCGTATCGCATGTAGTTTTGGCCACCTTACCTCAAATAATATACTTTACATTGAGGGCTTGCAGCGAGTTTCACTTGGCTGTTACTGGGGATGGCAGGACTGTCTTATGAGAAGAGATTAGTTCAATTGGGCCTTTATTCACCAGAGTTTAGAATTCTAACAGCATTGAATATACTAGATGCAGGGAGAATGTTCTGTCTGGTTGGGGAGTCTACAATCAGGGGACACAGTCTCAGGATACAGGATAGACCGTTTAGGACTGAAATGGGAAAAAAATGTCTTCACTCAAAGAGCAGTGAAGTTATGGAATTCTCCACCACAGAAGGCTGTGAAGGCCAAGTCACTGAATATAGTCAATAAAGAGATAGTTAAATTTTTAAATGTTAAAAAAGGCATCAAGGGGCATGGGAAGAAAATGAGAAAATGGAATCTTTTTTATTCACTCATAGGACATGGGTGTTGCTGGCTGGCCAGCATTTATTGCTGCACTACACACTCTAGCTTTCCTTGAAAAGGTGATGGTGAGTTGACTTCTTGAACCATTGCAGTCCACATGCTGTAGGTTGACCCACAATGCCCCTTGGGAGGGGATTCCAGGATTTTGACACAGCAACAGTGAAGGAATGGGGATTCAGACAGAGGATCAGCCATGGTTATATTGAATGGTGGACAGGCTCAAAGGCCTGGATGGCCTTCTCCTACTTTTTTTTTATTTCTATATTTTTCTATATCAGTAGCTTTGTGAATCAAATAAAATTTGTGGAGCTGCCTACTAAGGAGTTTTCATTCTTCACATCTGCACTATTCCAATGAAACTAATTGTAAGCTTGAATAATGGTATCTCAATTCCCCATGGACTTTTATAGCCCCTATGCCAGCATATAATCCTTTGCCCATCTCCTCTTGGCCCTTTATAGTCTTATGCTTATTTACGGCTAACTCATGTACCCCATCAGCCACATTTTGCTTTTGAACTCATCATGCTAATTCACCAATTATGTACCATGAGCAGGATCCATGCAAAAATGAAATAATTTATGTTGTATAAAACAATGTTCTGAGTGTCTATTACAGATTTCACTACACTGAAAAAATTCTCATTCATGAAAACTCCCCCATTTACTAGACCAATAATCCTTCAATTACATAGAACAGATATTTCATTCAAATGTACAATCACTAATAAGTATTTGAAGTCATTGTTCCATTTCAGAGCATATATTATAATTTGTTACTGTCAATCAAACGAACATGGTAGGCTTCCCATTGCTATAGTGGATCATAAAATAACAGCACATGGTAAAAGGTATAAAATATCAGCATAAATGAAGGATTGGTTAGCTAACAAGAAGCAGAGAGTACGGGTAAATGGATAATTTTGGCAAGCTGTAACTAGTGGAGTGCCAGAGAGATCAATTCTAGATCTTCCAACTATTTACAATAATCTCAATGACTAAGATGATGGGGCTACATGTATGGCAGCTAAATTTGTTGATGACACCAAGCAAGATAAGAAGGTGTGCGGCATGATGGCTAACTGGTTAGCTCTGCTGCCTCACAGCTCCAGGGACCTGGGTTTGATTCCAGTCTTGGGTGACTGTCTGTGTGGAGTTTGCACATTCTAGCTAAGTGTGCATGGGTCTCCTCTGGGCACTCCGGTTTCCTCCCACAGTTCAAAAATTTGAACGTTAGGTGGATTGGTCATGCTAAATTGCCCATAGTGTCTAGGGATGTGCAGGCTGGGTGGGTTAGCCATGGGGAATGCAGGGCTACAGCGTAGCAGAGTAGATCTGGGTGGGATGCTCTTTGGATTGTTAATGTGGATTTGATGGGCCAAATGGCCTGCTTCTACACTGTAGGGATTCTAAGGTGAGTTGTCAAGAGGAGGTAGAGAGTCTGATATTAACAGGTAAGTAAGTTGCAGTAATTTGGCAGATCCTAGTGGTTAAATATGAACCTGACCATTTTAGCAGGAAGAATTGTATTCTATTTAAATGGAAAAAGACTTGGTGGTACAGAAATATCTAGTACATGAATCGCACAAAGTTAGGATATGGGTACAGAAAGTGATTTGGAAGGCAAATAGGATATTGTCATTTATTGAAAGGGGAATGGAATTTTAAAAAAGTTAAATACTGCAGTAAATTTATTGCAGCTGTATATGCTGAAGCCACATCTGGAGTACTGTGTATAGATTTAGTGTCCTTATTTTAAAAAGGATATAATTGCATCAGAAGCAGTTCAAAGAAGGTTCACTCAACTCATGGGAACAAGGGCTTATTTTATTTTATTTTATTTTATTTTATTTTATGACAGATTTCTGCAGGAAGATGCCCTGTGTCCGTTTTTCATGCATAAACCCAGATTGTGAGCATTAATAGGCCATTCAATTATGGGACTGTGCAATAGAATCTAATTCTGTTCTAGATGCATTCCAACAGGTTCAGCCTATATCCTTTGGAGTTCAGCAAAGTGAGGCATGATATTATCAAAACATATAAGATGCTGAAAGAGACTAGTTAGGGTGGGTACCGGTGGGAATTTTCCGCTTGCAATAGAGACTGAAACTAGGGAACATGATTTAAGAGTTTGAGATCTCCCATTTCAGGGATGGTGAGACTGTTTTTTTCTCTCGGGTCATCACAGCCTACAATTCTCTTCTCTGGTGGCTGGGTCTATAAATTTATTCAAGGCTGAGTTAGATAGATTTTTGACTTTGGATGAAGGCATGAAGGTATACTTGCCACATTTGCTGATGACACAAAAATAGGTAGGAAAGTGAGTTGTGAAGATTACATAGGAGACTACAAAAAGAAAGCTGAAATGAGTGGGCAAAGATCTGGAAAATGAAATATAATGTGGAAAAATGTGAAATTGTCTATTTTGGAGAAAGAATTAAAAATATGCATATTTATCTAAATGGTGAGTGATTGCATAATTCTTGAGATACAGAGAGATCTGGGTGCCCTACTGAATGAATCACAAAACGCTACAGTGCAAGTACAGCAATTTCACTCACAACCCATATAAATATTGTATATTCCTGTTGAATGCCTAAGCCATTACTAGCTTAGAGATCACTGTTTAAGTCTTTCCACCATCAAATATGATCTTGCGAGCTAAATACAGGCTGTGCTACCTTGTAAGTGTGATACACCCAGGCTTGTTTGAGTTACATTTACATCAGAATTGTGTTTAGCAGTTTCTCAACTAGATGCCCCCATTATCCAGTTTAAAATTTCATCCCTAACACAGTTATATTCTAAAACATGTATATTATGAACTAGATATTTGCAACAATATTTAGAAACTAAATAGCACATAACTGAATGTTTGAGATAGGAATCTGAGTTTTTAACCAGATTTTTGAATTGCCTTGCCAATGACTTGTGAACTTCCTTTCCATCAGATTTCTGCAGGAAGATGTCCTGTGTCCGTTTTTCATGCATAAACCTGGATTGTGAGCATTAATAGGCCATTCAATTATGGGACTGTGCAATAGAATCTAATTCTGTTCTAGATGCATTCCAACAAGAATTTGTGGGTAGTGATAAGAAACGTGAATCTTAGCTGATTACACTTGCCCCTCCCCCAACAGTCATTCTTTTAGGCTCGGAGAAATAACCCAATTTATAGTGATTGTAATGAGGTCAGCCAGAGTTCCCTGACTGGGACTGATAAACTAGTCCAATCAGGGAGTCCTGGCTCACAGATATAAACAGGAGTGTCAGAGGTTCTGCTCCCTCTCGGAGCCAGCTCAGAGCTAGCTGTGTCAGTGTCATGTCCAATGCTTGTTTAAATAAGGGGTGACTTGGTGGCGAGGTACCGACCTTCATGGAATTATTTCAATAAAGATCACCTTATTTAAGGAAGAATGTAAAAATATTGGAAGCATTTCAGAGACTGTTACCAAACTATTACCTGGAGTGGGCTTTTGAGGAAATTTTGGGCATGCTATGTTTATATACTCTGGTGTTTATAGAGTAAGAGACAATTTGATTAAGCATGTAAGATTTTGAGGAGTCTTCATGTGACAGATGTGGATGTGGTGTTTCGTGTTATGGGAGAATATAGAATGAGGGGTCATTGCTTAAAAATAAGGGGTTGTCCATTTAAAAATAATACGAGGTTTTTGTTTCCCCAGAAAGTTGAGTGTCTTCGGAATTATCTTCCGAAAAGATAGTGGAAGCTGAACTTTTAAATATATTTTAGAGATGGATAGATTCTTCTAAAAGTGAAGTTCTGCAGGTGCTGGAAATCTGAAATAAAAACAGCAGATGCTGGAGAAACTCAAAAGGTCTGGCAGCATCTGTGGAGAAAGAAAGAGTTCATGATTTAGGTCCAAAGATGATTCTTTGAAAGATGATAGCAGTGTCTTAGAGGTATTTAGACAAATATGTGAGCAAGTAGGGAATACAGAGATACAGATTATGTGCAGACAGATGGGATTAGTTTAGAATGGCACCATGATCAGCACATAGATTGTGGGTACTGAAGGGCCTGTTCCTGTGCTATACTGTGATATGTCCTTTATTAAGACAGTTTCTTAGTGAGCAAAGGTGTAAAAGATTAACAGGGGCAGTGGTCCCATTACTTTTGTTTTTGTCTGGATAGATGTCCAAAGTGCTTGCACGGTAGCAACTTCTAGAACCACAATGCTGTAAACGGTGTCGGTACCTCAATCACTGTGCGTGAAACCTCAGAGCAGCTGAATGGAAAATGCTGATCAGTGATAGAGTGGAATATGGATTTAGGTTACAAGCTGATCAATCATTATTTTTATTGAATGGTGGAGCAGGTTCAAAACAACAAATGGCCTTCTATTATTCCTGTGTTCTTATGATTGTTTTTTTTATTCATTCACAGGATGAGGGTGTTGCTGGCCAGGCAGCATTTGTTACCCATCCCGAATTGCCCAGAGGGCAGTTGAGAGTCAACCACATTGCTGTGGGTCTGGAATCACATGTAGGCCAGACCAGGTAAGGATGGCAGTTTCCTTCCCTAAAGGGCATTAGTGAACCAAATGGGTTTTTCCAATAATTGACAGTGGATTCATGGTCATCATTAGATTCTCAATTCCAGATTGTTTTTTATTGAATTCAAATTCTACCATCTACTGTGGGATTTGAACCTGGGTTCCCAGAACATTACTTGGGTCTCTGGATTAACAGGTCCAGCAATAATTCCACTAGGCCATCGCCTCCCCCTAGTTGTGATTGTGAAATCATTCATACAGCATCCATCCTATATCAGCAGGTAGAGTGAAATAACAAGCAAGATTCACTTTTTAACTGTCCAAACCTTTTTTTCAAAGATTTAAAGGGCAGAATCAGGCTTCTTTGGCATTTGATTTTGACAGATGCTTGTGACATCTTTCACATGTTACATTTATGTTTGTTTTTGCAGGTCTGTTGACAGTTCCAATGAGCTTGCTTGTTAAATCCTCATTGTGGTTTATGTCTCTTTTATGCAAATTCATGCCTACTTTAAAAAACTTCAAAAGGCACCTTAACTCATTCAAAGGGTGTCTTAACTCCAACAATATTGTCTCAGGATCATGTACAAAAGGGATGCGTTACCTCTCCAAAGTGTCCCCTGTGTATACAAGGAAATGCATAAATTTCACAACTGTTCTTCTCAGGTCTGTTCAAACTTAAGGTATCAAATTCCCAGAACACCAAAATCCAATCTGGGTGGCAGCTGGCCATTTAAATCATCAGCTGGCACTGTAAAACCACACATGCACAAATTTGAATCCAAATTACCATACCCATGAAAATGGGAAGGCATGTATTCACTGACTGCAATTTCAGACTCTTCTACCATTTTCTTCACAATGGAGAGCCACACCATCGTGGCCAAAATCCAGTCCAATATATCTGTAACCTATCAAGTGAGGTGGTACATTTAAAAAGACAGGTAGCAATCTGTTCTGCATCATGTTTCCAATTCCACATTCTCTGACTTTATTATTGGGGCATCTTATCAAAGACTTTTTGAAAATCCAAATGAATTGTATCCGCTGCATTATAATTGTCTTCTCTCCCTATTAGATCTGCATAAAATGCAATAAAGCCAGTCAAGTAAGATTTTCTATATCAAAATCCATGCTGAGTATTCATTATGATGATTTTCATTCTGTTCTATGATGTGCTGACCCCCTTGTTAAATGTAGGACAATTCAGAATAGGCAATAAATGTGGACCGAGCCAGTGGCACCCATAATCTATGAGCAACCAAAAGAAAGTTTATATCCTCTGGTGTGAAAGAGGCTTATAAGGTTTTAAATAATCGAAGCAGACCTGAGGATTCACAGTGTTTTAGAGCAAAGTGATCAAAAAATTGACAAAAAAGGAAAACAGTAAATTAGCCAGAAAAATAGAAACTGATTGCGACTGCTTTTGCAAGTATAAATAGGAACAGGAGTAGGCCATTCAGTCCCTCAAGCCTGTTTCACCATTCAATGAGATCGTGGCTGATCTATGGCCTAACTCTATATATCTTTGTACCCTTAATATCTTTGCGTAACAAAAATTGATCTATCTCAGATTTAAAATTAACAACTGATCCAGCATCCAATGCAGTTTGTGGAAGATAGTTCTAAACATCTACCGCCCTTTGTATATGGAACAGCTTCCTTATACCCCTCCTGAATGGTCTGGCTATAATTCTCAGACTATGAGCCAACTAGAATCCCCAACTGGTAGAAATAGTTTATCTTTATCTACCCTGTTTTTTCCTGTTAATAATATCTTGAAGACTTCAATCAGATCGCCCTTAACCTTTTAAATTCTAGAGAATATAGGCCAATTTTTTATAATCTCTCCTCATAACTTAACTCCTAAAGTACAGGTATCATTCTTGTAAACTTACCATGTACTCCTTGCAAGGCCAACATATCTATCTTAAGATGTGATATCTAGATTGGATCATAGTACACCAAGCGGGGTCAAACCAGGGTTTTGTATAACTACAGCATAACTTCCACATCCTGTAGTTCAGTCCTCAAGATATAAATTCCATTAGCTTTCTTCATTATTTTCTGCAACTACAAAGATCTTGATCAGTTGAGTCAATGCGCTGAAGAGTGCCAGATGGAAATTGATTTGGATAAATATGAAGTATTGCATTTTGGCAACACAAACAAGGGCAGGACTTATTCAGTTAAAAGTAGGGCCTCCGGTAGTGTTGTAGAACAGGGACACCTAGGGGTTCAGTTACATCATTCTTTGAAGTTTGCATCACATGTAGATATTGTGGCTAAGAAGGCATTTAGCATGCTTGCCTTCGTTGCTCAGACCATTAAGTATAGGAGTTGCAATGTTATGTTGAAGTTCTACAAGATGTTGGTGAGGCCTCTTCGGAAATGCTGTATCCAGTTCTGGTCACCGTGTTATAGGAAGGATATTATTAAGCTGGAGACAGTTCAGAAGAGATTTACCAGAATGATGCCAGGAATGGAGGGTTTTGAGTTATAAGGAGTGGTTGGATAGGCTGGGATTTTTTCACTGGAGCATAGGGGATCCAGGGTGACCTAATAGAGGTTTATAAAATCATGAAGGATATCAATAAGGTAAATGGCAGATACCTTTTCTCTACTGTGGGGGTTTTTAAGACAAGGGGACTTTTTTTTAGGTGACATAAGAAAGATTTAGAAAAGACACGAGGGTTAATTCTTTTACACAGTGGTTTGAGTGTGGCATGAGCTTTGTGATCAAGTGGTGGAAGCGGGTACAGTTAGATAAGTACATGAATAGGAAATGTTTAGAGGGATATGAGCCAAGTGCAGGCAGGTTGGACTAGTTTAGTTTGGGATTATGTTCGGCATGGACTGGTTGAACCAAAAGGTCTGTTTCTGTGCTGTATGACTCTATGACTGTACCTGTTCGTGACATTTCAAGACATATGCATTTTAGCCCCCAAGTCTCTTTGGTCATTACCTGTATTTAACTTAATATCACCTAGAAAGTACTCTGATCCATGCTTTTTTTTGGTAAAAATAGATAACGTCTTAACTTGTGTACATTGAACTCCGTCTGCCGCTGTTTTGCCTGTTCAATTTGTCTATCAATATCCCTTTGTAATTTAATGCTATCATTTACACTGTCTACAAAACCACCTAACATTCTGTCATCATCAAATTTAGTTATATGACTTTCTATGCAATTATCCAAGTTGTTAATAGATAATGTGAATAATTGAGGACTTAACACGGTTTCTTGTGGGACACTACTGGTCATATTCTGCCAGTTTAAGTATCTATCCATTATCCCTACTTTCTGTTGCCTGTCACTCATCCAACTTCCCAGCCATGTCAGTAATTTGCCCTCAGTTCTGTGGGCTTCTATCTTAGTTAACAGTCTTTTATGTGGGATTTTATCAAATGCCTCTGGAATACATATAAACAACATACATAGACGTTCCCCTGCCCACTATCTTAGTCATCTCTTCAAAAAAATTCAATGAGGTTCTCCCTGATCAACTGAAAATTTTCAAAGTGTTCAGTAACGCCATCATTGATTATAGACTGCAACAACTTCCCCACCATAGATGTTAGGATGTTATAAAATGGCGAGTAGTAAAAGTAGATGGTAGTCCTTCCCAAACAGAATTCTTGAAGCAACCGACTGACCTGTGCAAGCAAGTGAACTGATATCAGAGGCTGCTGTTGACTTATTGAACTGGGACCCCCCCAAAAGAAACGTGTTTCCCTTGACTTAACTGAGGTTGATGTACATGCAGTGTATTTGCTGTCTTTCTGCTGGTACGTGGTTCAAATGTGAGATTGACATAGCGATACAACAATGTTGTCTATCCCCTTGTTTTCTGACTGCTGGTGACTATTACAAGCTCTCTGGCTTGTGTCTGTGCCAAATGCCAAGGGAAGGCAGAAGCACTCTAATCATTTAAGCTTTAATTGACAGGGAAAACTGTAAAGAGGCAAGGCAGACCAGCAAGCTGGAAGCATCCAGGCAGCTACAAAATTAGTAAGCACTAAGAAAGCAAATGAGATCCCCTGAGATGCAGCCTGGTCATATCCATAAGATTGGTACTTGTCCCTATATGCAAAGTGTCCTGGCAGCAGCATTGCAAGGGAAGGTGTTAATGTGCTCCCAGGTGCAACACAGAACAATCTTCTAAGTGGACTGGAGGTGTGTCTTGAGGGTGTGGTGAGGCTGATGCTTGTCTGATGCCAACCTCTGTGGATGGGGGTATGCATGTAGTCACTGCCCATGGAACATTGCCTGGTGTCAATGTTGGTGCCTGGTGTCTGAAATGGAGGACCAGAGGAACAAGCAGAAAGTTGGAGTCACCAAGTACCCACTCTGACTTTCATGTTCAGTTTCAGCTGCCTAGTTTCTGTCTGGCAGGTGGAAAAATGAGACTATGAATCTTAATGAAGTGCCATTAAGCAAGAATGAGTTGCTAATTAATGCATGCTAATACATACAAACAGGCCTCTCACCACACAGGAAGAGAATTTTATCTTGCTATTCAACATTTGGTTTAACTGTCCATTCTTTTTCAGTTCAGATACCACAAAGCCATTTAATTGACACCAAAATTACGAAAAGGGATTTTTCTCTTGATATTGAGAAGTTCTTCACTGGCCAACTTACCCAAATTTCCATATTTTTCAAATTTCTCACCAGTGCCCATGTCATTTAGTTCCTTTGATAAATATGGGAGTTAAAAGATATCGGGGTAGGCAGGAAAGTGGAGTTCAAGCTGCAATCAGATGAACCATGATGTTACTGAAGGGCTGAAAAGGCCCAAGGGCTAAATGGCTTACTTCTGCTCTGACTTTGTATATTCATATGCTGTTCTTCACAGAGCATTATGAAGCTTTGGAATTGTCTACCCTCGTGGATCCCTGTTGAGCATCATTTTTGAACATATTCAGAACTGAGATTATTAATCTATCGAAGAATCAAGGTCTATGGAAAGTGAACAAGAATGTGAAATTGATGAAGAAGATCAAGCCTGACTGTACTGAATGATGGAGCAGACTTGAGGGACAGAATAGTCTACTCTTGCTCCAACTTCTTATATTCTTATTCTATACAACTCAAGCAAGTAACTAGGTTAACTGAGCTCAAGAATGTATCCACAGCAGTCCTAATTTGTAACACTCCCCCATTCTCTCTGTTCATGCTATCATTCTGTTTCATTCTTCTTCCACAGAGCATTCATACCAAAATTTTCCCTATTTCTCCCACACCAAGCACCACTTCCAGCATATGCCTCTCTTTATTTCTGTTTATTTTTGTTTGCCATGATTGCAATCTACTTCTCCAGTCAGTATCCTGTTTTTATTGTAACTCGTTACTTCACACTCAAGAATATCTACGATGATATCTACAAATCAGAGCAAATGCATCGAATGAACAATTCACAGATAATGTGCAAACACACAATTTAACTCATGCATTTTACATAGCTTTTATTTTCTGTCATCTCACTTACTCATAGTATTTTTCCCACAGGTTTCGGTATCTTCCCTGGCCAGACATATCAAACACAGTGAAGGACAACCTGAAATTATACAAAGTAATAAAAAAAAAGCATGATTACTCTACATCAGTGAATGCCTGTTTTCTTCTTCTCCATCTAGCCATGTGTCAGGGTGAGCAGACAGCAAATGCTAGTACGGAGATAAAACAGAAGTTTGTGCTGTCTTTGGTTTAGTATATTGTTATTTTATCTTTTGGGCTTGAGCCTGAATTCTCTGGCTGCCACATAATTAAACTAACTAAAATAGATTTGGCAAGTCTTGATTGTGCAAGGCTTTGGCAAGACCATCAAAACTCAACACTTAAAAAGTCCAGAAAGGAAACACTTCATTCTCGAAGCTGCATGGACAACAAAAAGAAAAGTGGTCAGGAAAGTGGAAAAGAAAGAGAACAATTTACATATGTATTAATTACTATACCTAGATGTAGAGAATTTCTCCACACTAAATCCAGTTGTTGGAAATAGGTCCTTGGCCTGTGCCTGAAGAATAAAGGGGAAGGTTGAGATCAATTCCAAACAATTACTGTATGGAGACTTGACTTAACTGTCCATTCTTTTTCATTTCAGATACCACAAAGCCATTTAATTGACACCAAAGTTACATTATGATAGTCAACAATTCTCTGAAATGTAAACCAGATTTATTTCTCAATCAGTACAAATCCTCTCTGCCTGAAGTATGGATTTGCTTTTGGGAAAGGAGAAAAATCAGCTTTGGTTTTCATTTCTGATAATTTTCTCTTGATTCATCTGTATTCATCTTTTCTGAAAACCTGCAGTTTGAGATCCTCTGGTTTTGCCTTTCCACAGGAAACTAGAATCGATGTAAGATGACGATGGAATAGGACACTCCAGCCGGAACTTATCCACTCCAGTTGGCGGCCCAGAGTAGGGACGCCAATGACCAACAAACCAACGTGGGGATACCAGCGGCCTGGTGCAAACCAGCTGGAGGGCCCATGTGCTGGTCTGCTGAAAGACTGTAATGTTTGTCTTTTTACCTTGCTTCTTGTTTTTCTGACTTAGGGTTATACTGTGTACAGCGGTAATGTAACCTTTTTTTTAATTTCTCGATTCTATAACTAAGGACTGTACCTTAGGTACTCTGTGTAAAATGGCACCATGTGTTGGTGACATTTTTACACTAACTTATCTGTAACTGAAGAAGCGGTATCTTTGTACCTTTGGCACTGTAAGTGGTGACTTTTAAACTATTCACTGTGCTCATTTGAGTACATGCGACAATAAACCTAATTCAATTCAATGTACAGCGTTGGAAAAAATCTGGCAATGGTGTATAATAGGGAACAATTGAAATGGGTTGTTTTGGTAGGATGAATTAAAGAAAAGAACAATTACAAAATATTACAGTGCAGAGGAATCCAGGTGTTTATATGCTAAATTTTATTCCAAAGGGAATTGATAATGAAAGTCACAATGTTATGCTTCAATAATGAAAGGCATTGGTGAGACCACATCTTGAATACTGTGTACAATTTTAGTCTCCTTATTTATGGAAGAATGTAAAATATGTTGGATGCAGTTCAGAGTAGGTCTACCAGATTGATATCTGGAATAAGCAGGTTGTCTTCTGAAGAAAGATTGGACAGACTTGGCTTGTTTCCACTGAAGTTTATAAGAGTGAGACGGGACTTCACTAAAGTATATAAGAATCGTCTTGTTAAAGTGGTTGTGAAAATGATGTTTCCTCTTATGGGTAAGTCTAGGACTAGGGGGCAATGTTGTAAAATTAGGAGTCAACCTTTTAGGACAGCGATGATGAGATTTCTTTTCTCTCAAAAGGGTTATACAACTTTAGAACTCTGCCTCAGAAGGTGATGCAAATGGGGCTGTTGAATATTTTTAAGGCAGAGATGTATTTTTGTTAGGCAAGGAAATTAAAGGTAATTAGATATAGGTGGGAATGTGGAATGTGAGAGATCAGCCATAATCTTATTGAATAATGGAGCTGGCTTAATCCTGCTCCTAATTTGTATCTAAGGTTACAAATTAGCTTCAGACTATTGTGCGTTATCACTCTCTCTCTTCCGCCCCCTAACACATACACACGCACGCACATACACACTCAGACACACACACTTTCTCTCCCTCTGTCTCTCTCTCACACACATATACCTATTGAGTGAATTTGTATTTGCAGATACATTCTATTTTGTTCAAAAAACACACAATTTACAGACAGTCAGTCAATGTGGCATTTTATAAATTCCTACTCTAGAAATAAAACCATTCTGATGCCAAACCAAAACACAAACAGATTCTGAACAAAGCCTCACTTGTAACATGCATTGGCTGACCTGAAATGTCACCTCTTCTTTACACTGATAAAATCTTTAGTTCTCTCAGGACAGCGACTTGAAAGGAATTTGGGGATTTACATATACATATTAATCAATTAAATCTTTAATCAGTTAGAAGGTTTTAACAGCATCTTAGGTTTGTTTAATACATCCTCATCAGTGCTGTTACCCTTTGATCTTTTACTTATAAATTCCGTGTCTGATACTACATCTCTCACCAACACCTGAAGAAGGAGCAAAGCACTAATCATTTCCAAAGGATCCTAGTGATGTATTCTTAGACTCTCAGCATCTACATTAAGGATATAGGAAATTGCACCTGGAGTACATCATGCAGTCCCTGAAGCCTATTCCACCATTTAATACGATTATATCTGTTCATCAAACTTCTCTTTCCCTTCATTATCACTACTTGCCATTAAGAGTCCAAAAATCAATCAATTTCAACTTTGATCTTGGTCAATGGCTGACCATCCATAGCCCTCTAGGGTAGGAAATTCCCATTATTTATAGGTCTGAGTGAAAAAAAGGTTTCTCATTTCATTCCAAAATAATAAGCCCTTTATTCTGAGACTATGCTAGTTTCTGTAACTTTCTTCAATGCTGGAACACCCCCAACACATCATTCTTAAGACTTGTGCACCACCACCTTCATCCCACAACTGACCATCAGTTGTCCGGATCTCACACTTGCAGAAAACGGGATTAACCAAATTGACTTTCTTTGGTTGAAAAAGATAGCAGCCTCCTTAATTGGATTCTGAATGTCATGAGAAATAGGGGAAGAGATGAACCATTCTGTCTTTTCAGTTTGCTTCACCATCCAATCAGATTATGATTGATCTGTAGATCAACTCCATTTTTCTGCATCAAGGAGACCGTGCAAAACTAGAGACAATGGTAATGAAGGGGAAGAGTGCCGGTTGAAGTTATACCTATCACAAAGGAAAATTGTTGTGGTTGTTCGAGGTCAGTCATCGCAGCTCACAGGACACTCCTCTGCGGGAATTCCTCAGGATTGTGTCCTGTCCTGAGTTCAACTATCTTCAGCTACTTCATCAATGACCTTACTGCCATAAGAAGATCAGGAATGGAGATGTTCACTGAAAATTGTACAATGTTCATTTTAAACTCCCCAAATAATAGTCTATAACCCAAATCCAAGGTAGCACGGCGGCTCAATGGTTAGCACTGCTGCCTCACAGCGCCAGGGACCTGGGTTCAATTCCAGCCTTGGGTGACTGTCTGTGTGGAGTTTGCATGTTCTCCCCATGTCTGTGTGGTTTTCCTCCGGGTGCTCCGGTTTCTTCCTGCAGTCCAGGTTAGGTGGATTGGCTATGCCAAATTGCCCATGGTGTCTAGGGTGGGAAATGTAGAGATAGGGTATGGGGTGGGATGCTCTTTGGAGGGTTGGTGTGAACTCGATGGGCCAAGTGGCCTGCTTCCACACTGTAGGGAATCTATAAGAGTGTAGAGGTAAACCAAAAATTCATAAGCAACCTAAAGGAAAAGGCAAATAGAAAGAGACTTCCAAGAGAATAGAAAGCTGAAAAAAGCAGAATACTAGTGAACACAACAGACTCAAAGTGGAAACAAATACAAAGAGAAGTAAATGGCTGTAACAAGGCAGAAATAACTAAAAATCCAGATTTCCTGCCAGTATAAACCTCCTTATTATTCTGTATTTGTTCATATTTGTTGTAAAATCAACAAATGTAATTGATGGAGCCCTGCAGACTTGACTATTTTATTCCGCTTTGCTTTACACTTCCACAGGGAGAATCATGTTTACTTACAAGAACTGGGGAACTTTGTAACAAAGAAAGCACTGGCAGTATTATCTGCTTTGTCATCAGGAGTCAAGAAACAGCTGTTGTTTCTTATAGTTCTGCCACATTCAGGACTTAAATCAAAAATCCCCAATCAGGGTATCTTCTGAGCAGACTTTTCCCCAGAGATGAGCATGTCTTTCCATGTCTTGCATTCATCTAACTTGTCTGAGGTCTGTGAATGGGGCGTGAGACACAAAGAAAGATAGCTCACCTTGAAGCTGCTGATTGGCCTTGTCTCTCAAAGGTTGGACCTGATAATGTCAGTAACTCCATACAATAGACCCTCACCACCCGTAAGACTTCACTCATATGATTGTATTTCTCTCACACTACAGAGTTGCTAGCTTCTGTGGGAATTTGACAACCCTTTATCTGAGGAGACAGCTGGGGAAACTTAGCAGCTCCCTAAAGGGTTCCTTCCCAACAATGCAAAAGGTTCTGAAAACTGGATTATCACTGGAAAGGAAGGAAATTATACAATGGCTTGAACATCACAGAAAGAAGCATGTGAAGAACTGTGACACCAAAAGGGTGTGGGGACAGATAATGGAGTTGCCACAGCTTTTGCTTTCGTTACTGCTGTGCAGCTGGTTTGAGGAGAGGGAATGTTGACACTTGTTACTATTGCAGCACCAGACACGTTCTGAGGCTGGCTTGTTTTAAAGAAATGCGCAAAGGCGGAATACACGCATGGTCAGGTTCTTCTTCTAAAGTGAAGCTGTGCAGTCTGTCAGACATTAAACTGAAGAATTTTGGAATTGTCAGATAAAGAGGATTGCGGAAATTTTATTGTAACGTACATAATAACAGATTGCATCAAAGTCATTTGAATGCTAGTTATGCAAAAAATGTTGTAATTATACACGCTGCAGGATAAAGTATCCACTTTTAATGGGCAGGTACTGTACAGGATTTATTCATAATAATGAGTAGATTCGTGGGAGTTGTCTTCCGTACTCACACTGGTAGGTTTCAGGCAGTTGATGATTGTACTCTTCCCGCTATTGTCCAGCCCCAAACAAAGGATATTCACGTCCCTGCGCTTCAGCCTTAGGCAAAAAGCCAATTTATCCAAAAACCCCATAGCTGGATTGGGCAGCAGTAACTCGGGTCTCCTCTGGTTACCAAGTCCCGCCGTTCTGACCTGTGTGCGTCCACAGTGACGCAATTGCAAAACTCAACCTCACTGTAGATGCATTTGGGAGCAAGGCACCAACTTTGTTGCTACCTGCGGTGGGACATTTACCTTAAAAAAAAGGGAGCACCACACGCCAATGCTCTCGTTTGCTTCTAAACATTTCATACTGTACCTATAAAGGAAGAACATGTAATGGCAACTAATAATCAGCGCTTTCAAGCTTGTGCTAATTCAAAACCATCGTCTCAGCAGTAGAACAGTCTTGATGAACGACCACAAATCCAGATCGTAATTGGCTTGGTTCATATCCACATTCTCAGACTGTAACCGACCAGTTTGTCTTCTAATATAACCACTGGGTCACCCCATTATCACAAGTGAAGAAGGCAAAGTTTCAAAATAATGGGTCTCCAGTTGGAGATGAAGAGGTGGAGATTTTTTTTACTTGGAATGATTGTTAGTTTATGATTCCCTTTTTCAGAGTTAATTGGAAACAGCGTCATTGAATATTTTTTAAGGCTGAATTCGTTAGATTTGGGTATGGAAGGTTTGAGTTATAAAGAAAGGCTGGATTAGCTGGGAATTTTTTCATTGGAGCATAGGAGTTTTTCCCCAGGATAAGGGATTTCAAGACAAGAGGACATGTTTTTAAGGTGACAGGAGAGAGATTCACATAGCGGGTAGTCTGAGTGTGGTAAAATCTACCTGTGGAAGTGGTGAATGCAGTCATAGTTACAACGTACATGAATAGGAACGAATAGGATGGATATGGGCCAAGAGCAGGCAAGTAAAACTAGTTTAGTTTTGGATTATGTTCTGCATGGACTGGTTGGATGGAAGGGTCTGTTTGTGTTCTGTATGAATCTATGACCAATTATGTGTTTTGTTAAATGATATTTTCCAGGATGCTGGTAAACTTCCGTTCTTCTTTGAATCTTGTCATGGGATTTTTTTTTACCTGCATCCTGGTGAGAGAATGATGGGGCCTTGGTTTATTTGTCTGTCTGAAAGATGACATCCTAACAGTGAAACACTCCATCTGTAATACACTCAAAGTGCCAGGCTGATTTCTAATAGAAATGAATGCTACCACTGAACCATGTGTCATTGAGCACATGGGTGAAATGTTCCACTCCTGGACAGCAGTGGAGAAAGTTGCAGGAAGGGAAGATAATTAGAGGAGTTGGCATTGTGGAGACACTGAAATTAAGTTCTGGGTGAGAAAGCTCAAGCACAGCTCTCCTGGCCTGCCACCAGTTGAGGTCCTTAATGGACAATTAACAATCAATTAGGGCCCCATTCAGCCAAGGCTGCAATTACTTGAACTGCAGGTAGGGCAAAGAAAAATTAACCTACCCAGCTGGTAAACAATATCAGCAGGCTGTCAGTTTGGTGCAGTGAGTCCATCATCTGCACTAATTCATTCAGAGCCAAGGGACTTGACCTAAAGAAAGGGGTGGCTGCTGAGGGCCTGCCCTCACTTCCAAAACTCCTGCACGCTCCCCCCCACCCCCCATGACTCCAAGTTTAGAACCTTCACTGCCATCAGAGGGGTGACAGCAGGGAGAGGAGGGTGCAGCGATGTTGCTGTCCCCACAACAGCCAATACATCCACTGTGGCACTGCCTCTGCCTCTGATTGGCCAACAGTTTCATGTAAATAGGACTTCCTGCTCTAAGATTATAATTCCAGCAGAAAGTCTGCTGATAACCAATCAGCTACCTGATTGTCAGAAACTATAATGAGCTTTCTTACCTCTGGAGGTTGAAAGTTTCCCTCCCAGACACTCTCGCACTTGGGGACTAAATTCGAAAATGGAAAAATTATAGCTTGATCTCAATGTCAATATTTGCGTTTAAAGTTTTGACAAAGATCTGTAGCACGGGTTGTGGATAAGCTTGTTGACTTGTTCGCCGAGCTGGCTTGTTCTTGTTCAGACATTACGTCACCATGATAGGTGACATCATCAGTGGAGCCTCCAATGAAACAATGTTATTCTACTCTGCTTGTAATTTATACTGTCTGGTCCGTTATGGTGAGTAGTGTCATTTCTGGTTTTGATCCGTATGGGTTTGTATATGGGGTCCAATTCTATGTGTTTGTTGATTGCATTATGGGTGAGAACCATGCCTCTAGGAATTCCCATGCGTGTCTATGTTTGGCTTGGGCTGCTATGGTTACCTTGTCCCAGTTAAACTGATGGCCTTCATTGTCTGAGTGTACCGATATTAAGGAGAGTTCGTCGTGCCGTTTTGCTGCTAGTTGATGTTCATGTATTCTGGTGGCTAGTTTCCTTCCTATCTGTCCGATGTAATGTTTGTGGCAGTCGTTGCATGGCATTTTGTAAACCACATTGGTTCTGCATGTTGTGGGAATGGGGTCTTTAATTCTTGTAAGTGTTTGTCATAGAGTGGCTGTGGGCTTGTGGGCAACCATGATTCCTAGTGGTCTCAGAAGTCTTGTTGTCAGTTCACAGTGCCGCTCCAAAGAGCATCCCACCCAGACCCATTCCCTATCCTTGTATTTCCCATGTCTAACCCACCTAACCTAAATATCCTAGACTTGATAGGTCGAAGGGCCTTTTCTATATTGTAGGCTTCAAAGACTCTCTGATTCTACTATGAGAATTGTCAGATTGTAAATGTGTTTATTTGCCACATACTTTATGAAATAGTACTCTTTATTACAAGGTAATTCAGAATCAGTTCTCATAATAAATAATCATAAATGTCATGAAAGTGAATCCTAACCTCAAATTAATTACAGACATATTAAACTTTTAGTACAAAACATGTATTAAAAAAAAGGAAATGCTAGCCAAAAGGTAGCTGAGAAAGCAAATTCAGAGACTGTTTTAAAATCCCTGTGCGGATTACACTGAGTCCCAACAGGAATTATGGAATTGATTAGACAGCAGCACTTCAAAGGCAGAAATGCCATTTATAAAAAACTCAACTGTGATTTCCTGTGGATGGTGTCCCAAAATGCAGGCATGCTATCAGTTGAAAGAAAGGCAGCTCTGGATGAAAGACACATTTGTGTTTTACCCTTCCAGGTTATTCACAAGATAGTGACTTAAAACCAACTACAACCTCTGGTCTCTTTGTACTAGCATGCCATCTTGTAATTCAAGTTCCAATGGGCTAAAGTGTGCTGTGAGAATGGCATAACAGAGAAGTTCCACCAGACACCCCTAAATGTGCAGAAATAAAGAAATAAAGTGCTTTTTTTTCATTTTTAGGTTAAATGTTATTTTGAGGGTTTCCTGACACCAGTCTCATCTTAGCTCACAGCACCTATCTTCCGCTACTCACCTTATTATTTATATATCTCGGCCCTATGGAAGTGTGCTCACTGCCAGGACAATTCACCATTCACAAGGGTGACACCATATTTAAACCCCAACTGTACATCACTTCAGACACTGCATGCCCGGAACTTATCTTCAGACTGTGTTGCAGCACCGAAGCTGGCACCCTGCTTCACTGATAGGGACCTGGAAATGAAGGTGGTCAGTGTAGCAGAGAGGAGGGCTATCCTCTTTCCTGTGGATCAGCAAAGGAGGCCATGCCACCAGAGTCATCCATAGACATTGATAGTGACTTGCATTTCTGGGACAAAATAGAATGCTCAGCAGTACATGAAGAAGATCAATGATTTTATGTGCTATGCAAGGGTGGATGCCACTATCTTTTCTCTGTTGCTTCACAGTTATTCTGCCACTGCATAGTAACATCACCAGGGCGAATGGACTACAACTCTCACTATTGTATGCAGCATCTCCACTCAAGGGCTCTCACCCACTTCAAATCTCAAACTACCCATCATTCTGCCCTCTATATTTCCTGTGGCAGGTTGGCCAACTTTTAGCTCCTCATTCCTTATAAGGTCAAGACCCTCCAAATAGTTAGAGAGTTTTGACACTCGTATGGGAACACTGCAATCTCCACATCCAGCCAACCCAGTAAATGTCACTATACTGTGATATATCGCTCTCCCATTAACCAATGTTAATTTAATCCTAAATTTGCTCAAGTTTGAGCCCTAGTGCCCAATTAATGGCCTCTTCTCTCATGCAGGCACCAACAGCACCCACATTATCTCCATTCCAAAGAGCCCAGCTCATAGCTACTCCTCCAGGTCTGAAGAAGTAACCACTAAATTCTCACAGGATGCACTGGCAGTTTTTTCTCCAGTGTCTCAACCACTTCAGAGACTTTCATCTTGATGATTTTTCTTCCTAGATTTGAGTAAAGAACACAATCCGGTGAGCACATCACTGGAACATCAAGGAAGAAATGCCCAGGTCACTGACACTCGAAGGACGGCCAAAAACCAGTTACCTACTCATGCTTAGTTAGAAGATGATTGCATGATGTCGGCCATTGATAATTTCATGCAGGAGCAGCAGGCAAATTTATCAGAGACACTCAGTAAATTGGATCTAGATTTGAAGGACTTCATCAACATAATCAGTAACACACTGGATCCAACATGTGTGTATCTCAGTCTCCATGGAATGGTTAGCAGCCATTATAGAAAGCCAAGTCCAGCAGAATGTTCAGTGGCTGCTGGAAATGCATACAGACCTGCATTCTATTGCTTTAGCTACTGGTACTCAGCATCAACTGCAAGTCAAAAGAGGGACCAGGGACCTCAACCTCAGCCCAAGTATCCCTTTCTCTCAAGGAGACAGGATGATGCTAGCTGGCACCCAGATGGACGAGAAACCACATACTGGCCCCCAGAATTTTCCTGTCGGAAAACTGCAGGCAGCAGGCACCAGGCCCTTCCACGTCGACCCTGCCTGTGATTCCCAAACCTGCAGAAATTGCACCTGCAGAGGATGAACCAGCATCTGGACAAGACATTTTCAGCAAATCTGGGCCCATTATCCACAATGAACCCCTGCTGAATTGTCCAGATCTTCTAGGTCAACAGACTCC